TGACAATAAAGACAATAATGACAATAAAGTCAATAATGATGACTATAGTGATAACGAAAAATATCATATTAATAATATGTCCAGTGATGATCCCAATATATTAAACAAATTAGTAGATAACAATCTTCTAAACATAAAACTAAAAATGTATAATAATAATAATTTTATATTAAACTACGATGTAAATAACGAAAAAGTAAGAAGGACCTTTTCTTATGAAGTAAATGATCAAATTGAATTAATACATAAAAACAAATGTTTATGTTGTGATATAAATTATAATAATACTATATTGTGTTCAGGTGGTTCAGATAACATAGTAAAGATATCAAAAATGTATGACATAAAAAATAAGAAAAAAATTTATAATATTGATAAGCATAAAGGAAAAGTGAATTGTATAAATTTCCATCCATTTAAAAATATATTATTTTCTGGAAGTGATGATTGTACAATACAAATAATAGATGTAAATAAAATATTTAAGATGAAAAAACAAAATTATTATATGCGTAAAGAATTCGAAGAACCTTATCAAAATATCTCTATTCAGGATAAAAATCCATATATATCTATATATGTACATCCATGTGGAGATTTTTTATATGCAAGTAATAAAAATGAAAACATATTAAAAATGTATGATTTACAAACTTTAACTTGCTTTACATCAATAGATACATATAAATATCATACGTCAACAATTAATGATATTCATGGAACTATAGATGGTACCATGTATTCTTCTGTTAGTGATGATGGTCATATTAAAATTTGGGATGGTCATAATTCAAAATTAGTACATACACAATTTAATGCTCATAATGGTTACTCTATTGAATCTGTTAAATTTAATAAATCAGGATTTTATATGTTAACAGCAGGATTGGATGGACAAAGTAAAATATGGGATTTACGAAATTTTAAATCCTTATTTACTTTTGGTAATGGTTTATCATGTTCTTCTAATAAAAGTATATTTATGAATAATGAATATTTTATAGCTAATATAATTCAACCAAGTGAATATTTTAAATCTCAGCTATATATATATAATGCTTATTTTGGAAATATGGAACATAATATACAAAATATACATAACGATAAAATATCTGACATTGCGAATGCAGCAGGTTTATTGAGTGTGTATACATCAGGATATGATTGTTTATGTAAACACATTCAAATTGAGCAAAGGTATTTGTCAACACTTAATTAGCGAAATATTATTATAGTGTACAAATAATTCTATGAAAAAAAAAAAAATAATAAATAAGTAATGTCATTTTTCATAGGACAAAAATAGATGTCTACTTGTTTATATGTATATATGTCAATTTGTGAATTATTATTATTTTTGTTTTTTTAAGTTTCTCATTATTTTTCTAATTTTTTTTTTTTTTTTTTTTTTGAAAACTATACATTTTGGGTCTTCTATATTAGTTCATTTTTGAGCTATAAATAATGAGTCCCAATGATTAATAATTTTTTTTTATAATTATAAAAAAAAAACAAAATATTTATTAAAATGTTAAATATATTTTTATTTCGAAATTTTTAATTTTTTTATTTGCGCATTGTTTTCTTGTAAGTATATAATTTTTTTTTTTTTTTTTTTTTTTTAAACTACTTTTTGATTATGTCTTCCTAAATTAAAAATATATATATATATATATATATATATTTAATTAGGCTAATTTATAATAATGCTAAAGTTTTATTGTATATATATATATATATTTTATTAGGGAAGTATTATTATTTTTTTATTATTATTTTATGTCTCCTTGTTATTCTAATTATATATATATATATATATATATATATTTATGTATGTATAATTTCCTTTTGAAAAAATATTATATAAAATATGTCTACAAAATTAGAACAAGAGAACTGTACGTTACTTGAAAATTTTGATGTAATATCTACGTGGAGTAGTAATAATGATAGTAACATCGAAAGTTTTGTAGAATCGTGCGAATTAGATATAAAAGATGACAACGAAAAATGTTTGAATATATTAAATGATAATTTAATAAATGATTTTGAAATAATAGAAGAAGAAGAAGAAGAGAAAAAAAAAAAAAAAAAAAAAAATGAAAAGTCTTCATCAAATATTGATTTGGAATATAATACTATGACAAAATATATAAAATGTATAATTAATAATAAAGAAAAAGAAGAATTTTTTGCATTTTTGAAATACTTATGTGATAGTGATTTATTTCTTACTTTTGTACAATTATTTTTAGATTTAATAAAAAATAAAGATAGTAGTTTAAATCCACATGATTATTTAATAAAATTTTTTCAAATAAATATTGAAGAAGAGAATAATACAAATAGTATAAAAAAAAGGAATTTAATAAAAGAAAATAATTTTTATAAAAAACAAAATGAGGAATTAAAAAAACAAATTAATATAATACAAGTAGAAATAATGGATATGAAAAAGAAAAATACGTGTAATTTTATCACAAATTTTTTTTTTAAAAATAATAAGCAAGAATATGATGCAAGTAATATTTTCCAAAAAGTAAATTTAACTTATGAAAATATTAGAATAGAACCTCCATTTTATTTTACAAAAGATACATTTAATCTTTTTATAAATTATTTAAGTGATAACAAAAGGAATTATATATATAATATCATAAAAGACATGTATAGTATGTATGAAACAAATCATAATTTATTTATAAAAAAATTGTATAAAAAGGTGATAAAGTTTATAGAATTTTATAGATCATTTGATAAATAAATTGTGGAGTAGTCTTATACATCATACATAAAAATTAAAATGAAGAGATATATAAGATAATAGCACATATATATATGTACATAAATATATACATAAATACATACATATATACATATATATATATACATATATACATATATATAATAGCACATCAATAAATGTGAATATACACATTTATACATATGAATTTATTTCTTTCATTTGTTTCATTCCAATTTGTTCATTTTGATTTGATCGATTGGGCACATAAAATTATGGTCGTAAATAAAGTAATATAAAATTTATTTTTTGAGAAAAATTTAAGTATATTATCTTTGAAAGAACATGATATATGTGTCATTTTTAAAACATTAACTGGTGAGAAAGGGCCACTAATCCTACCTCCAAAAACTCTATGAGCACTTTGTGGTAAAGAAAAGTTTGATCTGTCCACAACTATAAGTTCATGATATACATTTAAGAATTTATATTTTATATACAAATACATTTCTGTATCTTGTAATATATGTGAATATAATTTTTTTGTGTGTTTACTCGAAATTTTAATTAAAGGTTTTGGTATATCACAAAAATAAGCAAAAGAAAAATCATCATTATATAATAATGAACTATTTTCAATTTTACATTGTAATATTTTTGTTAAATCTATATATGGACCTTGCAAATGTTGTTCAGATATAGATTCAATATTAAAACAATTATTTATACATTCTTCTTTTAATGATAAATCACCATATAATGCTTTTTCTATAATTAATCCATTTTTTTTTTCTTCTTCTTTTATTTTAATATCATATATATCTTTTAATTCTTCAATTTTATTGGCATAAATAATATCAGCTTCTTTTTCTAATATATATCTTTGATCTTCTATAGTAGTTTCATCAATATAATTATTTAATACATCATAATAAAATTTCTCAAATTTATTTGTTAATATTTTATATGATTTCTGAATTAAATAATAACATTCTTCATATTCTCTTGACAACTTTTTATTCACACTTAATAATTTAGACAAGGCTAAATAACTTTTACGTATTGTCTTAGGATCCGATTTTAAATTAACATTTAATATTTCATAATACTTAGGTTTTGAATAACTGCTTCTCATATATTTTATTTTTGATATATAATTATTTAAGAAAATTTTCTTATGTTCACTATTCATTGAGTTAATGTTTAAAATTATATTGTTGTCTATGTCCGAGTTTGATTCATATATACTCCGATTCTTTTCATGATTCCCACCAAGTTCGTTTGTTTTATTTACTGTCAAAGTGGTGTTCATTTTTATAATTATATTATATTAATATATTTATCTGTTATATATTATCAGTATGGTGGCAATAATAACATTAATTTTATTTTGACATATTTTACAATTTATACATGTGTCATTTATTACAGTTTTGCAAATTATTATTATATGCTACATCATACAAATATATATATTATATAAAAATTAATATGTTTTTTATTTTTTCAATTATGAAATAGGCATTTAAAATTTTACCTGTACATATATATATATATATATATATATATATAATTTATTATTTTATTATTTTATTATTTTATTTTATTTTTTATTTATTTTTATTTTATTTTTTATTTATTTTTATTTTATTTTTTATTTATTTTTATTTTATTTTTTATTTATTTTTATTTTATTTATTTATTTATTTATTTTTTTATTATTTATTTTTTTTTTTTTGTGCACAATATAATTTTTAATATTTCAATGTGTATATATTATTTTACGATATTTCTTATGTATTTTATTTTATTTTTTTAATTAAGAAAAAGATGGAAATTTTAATATAATTAGATGATTTAAATTGTATAGTTTACATGATATATATATATATATTTATTTATTTATATATTTTTTTTTATTTTTTTGAATAAAGTGAATAAGCTTTTAAGAAGGAAAGAAGGAAATTGAAAAAATAGAGAAAATTATTTCTATAACATATTTTATCAAAAATGTGTATATGAACAAATACGGAGAATTTATTTATGTTTTGTTGTATATGGTATATATAAAACCATGAAAGAAAACAAAAAATTTGTTAAAGCAAAGGCAATAAAATAAAATGAAGAATATATATATATATATATATATATATATATATATATAATATTTTATATGAACATATATTATAAATTTACTACAGAAATAATATATACATCCATATAAATTAATATTAAAAGATGTGTATTAAATTACCTTGGGCTAGTAGTGTAGTGGTATCACGTTCGCTTCGCATGCGAAAGTTCCCGGGTTCGATTCCCGGCTGGTCCATTAAGGACAAAATAAAAAAAAAAAACATATTGAGCAAAAAAAAACAAATAGAAAAAGAATACTATAAAAATAATTTGTAAATTACATTTATTGTGCAAAAGAAAATTATTATAAGAATAAATATTATTCTAAATTAATTTATTGTAAATAAATAAATTATTATCATTTCATTGGAAAAATGAATTATATATATAGATATAGATATAGATATAGATATAGAGATATACATATATATATTAATTTAATAATGCTGTTTAGTAAAAAATTCAAACATATTATGAATAGTACTATTATCAAAGGAATAATATATATTATGAAATATTGAAGTATAGAAATTTTAATTTTTATTTTATTCTCATAATACCATATATATGTATATATAATATATATGTGTATATATATATATATATATATATAATTAAGTAGATATTATAAAAATATAAAATTGTTTTCCGCGTATATTGCGAAATTATATTCCTTTTATTATTTATAATAAAAAAATAAATGATAGTTATAATATATATATATATATATATATAGTGCTATTATATTATATTATATTATATTATAAAAAATACAACTTAATATTTTTTTCATAATCATATAAAATATATAATATATTTTTTATTTTAAGTGTTCTTATTTATCCATTTATTTTCCCTTTTCCTCTCTTCATGATAAAATTTTAAAATTTTGTTTGACAGAAGCGGGATTCGAACCCACGCCTTATACAGACTACAATCTGACTGTAGCGCCTTAGACCGCTCGGCCATTCTGTCGAACATTATAAATGCTGTTTTTTTCAACTTAATCTAATTTTATGTAGTATATTTTCAATATAAATTTTGAAAATATTATTATTTAATTTTTACAATATTTTTTAATATAAGAGTGAAATAATATATATTTATTTATATTTATTTCATAGGAATAGTAATCTGCATTTATAATTGCATTTACATTTACACTTTTTAAAAAATTATTATAATATATTAAATAATAATATTCTAATAAATTGGAGTGCAGGAGTTGTATATCTTAACTTATATAGGGAAAATAAGCATATATTTTATTTTATATAATTGTAAAAAGAATATTAAAAGAATGAATAAATAGGATGAAGGATGATCGCAAATGTGTATATATCAACATTATAAATAATAAAAAAAATATATCTATTTATATATATATATATATATATATATATATATATATATATATATATTTGGGATTGCATATGATAGTATTTAATTTGGAGAATGGTAAATTATGCGTTTCTATTTTATAATAAAAAGGAACCCATGAATCGTTAAAATATAAATTTAGTAAATGTTAAATGAATGCATTATTATATTTTTATATATATGATTGCTGAATATTACAAAGTAACATAATAATTATATATATATTATATATATTTATATTTATATTCATATTTATATTTTTTTTTTTTTTTTCGTGGTACTTAATCTTTGGTTTGTAATATATAATTTTGTTTAATTTATATATATATATATTTATATTTATATTTATTTATTTATTTTGTTTAAATTTATTAATATCTTTTTAGTTATAAAAAGAAATAAAAAATTAATTATAATGTGATTCAGGAAGAAGGCAAAATATTACATTTAAGAGGTATTTATATATCATTTAAATGAACTTATAAGAAAAAGAAAAAAAAAATATATATATATTATAAGTATATATATATATATATATATATATATATATGCCAAAGAAAATGAAATGTAATATAATTATATAACAAAATTATTACTTTTTGTTTAAAGATTAATTATATGTTTAGAATATCTTTTGGGATATATAATATGTTTACCATGAAAATATATTATGTGGAATGATTTACAACATAAAATACCATCTTTTATGTTTTTTAGAAACTTTAAAAATTATCATTTTAAATATAAGAATAAAAAAAGAAAGGAAAGAGAGAAACAAAAGAAATAATAATAATAATAATAATAATAATAATAATAATATAATAAATAACATATGTATATTGTTTAGATATATATGGGTTTTAAGCCTATTATTATATCATAAAGATATATGGCTAGTTCATTCCCATCAAATAAAAAACGATAGGACAAGGAAAAATAGTTATAATTTTCTTAAACCTATAAAATATGATTTATTTACACACAAAAAAAATGTATACACGTCAAATAAGCATAATAAAAAAAAAACAATTTTGGAAACCTTCAAAGGAATAATAAAAAAAAAAAATGTAATAGGTTCTAAAGTAAAGGAAGATTATTACAATAACATAGTTGACAATAAAAATAAGATATCCAAAAAAAATGTAACCAAAGAAATAAATAAAAATAATAACTATTTCAATAATTTATGTTATAGTGATATGATTAACAAAACTGTAGATGAACATGTAAATTTTGATGATGGTATAATAAATTATTTTGTGTTAAATTCTAATCCAAACTTATCATTTCTACTTAATAGTAATGAAAAAGGAAAGAAAATTTATACAGTAAATACAAAGAATAAAAAAAATGCTTCAGAAGATATGGAAAATGATGACAATATATCAGAAGATGAAACGACTATAAAAAATGAAAAAAATGATAAAAATAAAAATAATAATAACAATAACAATAAAAATAATATTAATAATAAGTGTAGAATAAAATTAAAACTAAAAAGAGGTTATATGAATGAAATATATGAACGAGAAAAAAAAAAGCTTAGTATCATTTTATCAACACTAAAAGATAAAAGCATTTTTAAAAAGAAAAAAAATAAAATGAAAGAAACCATTTTATTATTAAATGGTCAAACAGTTAAAACAGAAGTTATAAAACAATATCTATTTCATAAATTAAGATTAGAATATTATGAAAGTATAAGAGATCAAAAAAAAATCTTAACCTTAGATTTATGGTCTAAAGAAATTAATATGTCAGTAGAAAACTTAAAAAAATTAATTGTTTATATTTATAAAATGAAAAATTTAGTACAAAAAGAAGATGAAGATTTATTAATCAAAACCTATTTTTATAACAAAACCAATATGTTTACACTGTTTAGAAATAATTACACGGATAATGATATACCATTAGATTATGATTTATTAGAAAAAAAGGAAGATACCAAAAATTATAATGAAAATAATATGGGCCAGGAAATATTAGATCAAGGCTCACCTCGAAATCTTACTAAGGATAACAAAAATAAAAAGAATATGAAGAAAAAAAATGTTCAAAATGAATATGATATGAGTACTCCAAATAATTTGAAGGATAATGATAATATATTAATAAGAGAAAATAATAATAATAAAAATCATGAAAATAATGAAAATAATGAAAATAATAAAAATAATAAAAATAGTTATGATATATTTATGGATTATTTTGATAATGCAGAAAAGGTTTTATATAATGATTGTGAAAATTTAATAAATGTAGAAGTACAAAAATTTATGGAATGTATTAAAGATATTGTATTTTTTGAAAACTCCATATATCTGATTGAAAAATTAGAAAATAGGCCACCCTTATTAGAAGAATTAACATATGCATATAATTATGATAAAGATATATTTCTAAAAAAATTAGAAAATAAAATAAAATTATCACAAAAATTACTTATATATTTTATACCTCTTATTAATAGTACGGTTAAAAGAATAGAAGCAAATTTTAGTAGTAATTTAAGTGAAGATGATTTTTTATTAGTAAGTCTTGATGCTGTTAAAAATGGATTTAAAAAATATGATGTTGAAAAATTGGGTATAAAAAATTTAACAAAATATGTATATATATGGGCTAAAAATAGTACTTATAATTATTATCAAAAACATAAATCGTTTATATCTATATCTCCACACACATATAATGAATATAATAAAATCAAAAAATTTGAAGATTCCTTTTTAGAAAAACATAATAGAAAACCCAATATCAAAGAAATTAGCGAAGGCTTAAATTTATCGGAAGAAAGGGTTGAAAAAGCTCTCACATCATTTGTTAATATCATAGATGCAGAAAAACCTATAGTTTATCATAATAATAAATCTGGAAATGAAGAAAAAAATACATATAAAGATTTAATAGTTAATTCAGATGATATACATAGTTTTAATGAAATTATGTATAATGATATAGTAATAAAAGCGTTGAGAACATTTATTTGTAAGGGATTAAAGAAAAAAATAAACAAATTAATTATATTTATGAAATTCGGATTATTCTTAAAAAAAAAAATATATACAGATGAAGAAATATGTCAAATATTAAAAATATCAAAAAAAAAATTCCAGAAACAGTTTGAAGATTCTTTAAATGAAATTAAAAAATATATAACAAAAATTAAAAATAATAAGTCTGAAATGGATACCAATTTTGATTTTGCGTCTTATCTTAATTTAACACAGTATGACTTTTTAGGAAACGATTTTTCTCAAATAGATATATAACAAATAAAAAATAAAATATATCAAACATAAAATATATATAATGTAAAATATAAATTATATAATAGATTTTTAAACCATTTTGATTTTTAATAAGCCGTAGGTTTAATTTTTTTTTTATTTTTTTTTATTTTTTTTGTATTTTTTTTTTATATTTCAAAAAATATATATTTATACATATTCTATTTATTTTTTTTATTTGAAATGTTACATATATATATTTCAATATCATTAAAAATTTTTTTTTTTTTTTTTTTTTTTTCCTTATCATTTTTTTCATAAATATATATATATATATATATATATATATATATATATATATTTTTTCTTATTTATATATTTAACTTTTAATAAATAATAGCTACATAGCTAGCTAAAAAAAAAAGAATAAAAAAATAAATAAATAAAATAAAATAAATAAAATGTAATAAAAAAAAAAAAAAAATTATTATACACACATAAAGAAAGCCTTTCAAACATAGGTAAAGGATTATACCAAATTGTACTTAAAATGTATCATTATTCCACCCTTATTGTAAGACAT